TCCCCATCCCCCTCCTCTTTCTCCTTAACGCCCCCTCCCCTCCCCCACGGGGGCTGGTCTTGCTGCTTCCCTCTGGCTGGCCCTGTGCACGAGGCCCTGCTGTCTTGCAGGAGGTGAACCGCGCTCCACAGCTGCTCTACGACTTCCCCTGGCGCCACATCGGGAAGCTGGCCTTTCTGGTGCGTGTCTGATGGGGTCGGGGCTGGGGGCGGGGGTGTCTTAGCCCCCAGGAGCCCAGAGGAGCCTGGCAGACGCTTATCCTTCGGGACGTTGACCAGGCATGTCATGGCCCACGAGGTGCAGGCATAGCCCGAGGCCTGGGGAGTGTCCCGCGTGGAGATGGCCCCGCCCCCTGGAAGTGCCCTCCTGCCAGGCTGGGTGTCCTGGCTCTCGTCACCAGGAGGACTTCTGGCTCCTGGGTGGGGACAATAAAAGGGGGCGAGGAGGAGGCCACAGACGCCCTGGGCCGGGCCTGGCGCTGGGCGGGTGGCAGGGACGGTGGGTCCTGGGTGCAGGCTGAACTCGAGGGCCCAACACGGCCGTGGGCCCATGGGGTCCACCTCCCCGGGCCCAGCGCGGTGGGTGCCGGGTTACAGCTGCCCTGAGGCCCCTCCCCCACCCGCACCCCCAGGAGAAATCTGGTGGCAGGACAGAAACAGGAGAGCCCCCAGCAGAGGGCCTGGCTGATGCTGTCCTCTGGCTTTCTTGGTACGTCACATCGCGTCTCTTCTCTGCTCAGGGCAAGAGGTTTGAGCTCTGGCCGGATGGGCTGCCCGCGGCCCGGAAGCTGGTGTACCGCACGGGCTGCTCCTGGCGCTCCCGCCACCTGCTGCACCTGCTCAGCACCAGCCACCAGCTGCACCTGACCCTGCAGCCTGCGCTGCAGCGGCTGCGGCAGCTGGAGGAGGCCCAAGGTGGGGCCGTCCCCTCTGCGCCCACCCCTCCTCTGCAGTCTAGGTCGGACACTGGGCGCGGCAGCCCGCGTCTCACCCTGTTTTCCCAGAGGGGGCGTTGGCAAGGGGGTGGTGGCGACCCCACTCCTCCAGCTCTCCTGGGGCCTGATTCTAAAGATGGGGGCCAGGGGGGAAGCGAGGCAAGGGCTGCAGTAACCCCCACGCGGTTCCTGGAGGCCCTGGCAATGCACGCATGTGTGTGTGAGCATGGAGTGCCTGTGTGCACATGTGTGCACACCTGCTTGCGGGGGCTGCTTGGGGTCCCTCGCACTGAGACCTGGGAGCCCTAGGGCCGTGAGCACAAGGGCGAGTGTTAGGAGTTTACCGGCTGCCGGTGACAGATCCCACCTGGGGGCCTGGGCTGTGACAGCGGACACTCGGGGCCCTGATCTCTGGGTGGCACTTCCCTCCCCCGACTCTGCATCTTCCTGGGCCTGGCGGTGGCTGGACCCCTGGGCCTCTGTCGGCCACCTGCGGCTCCATCTCCAGCGCTGTTCTTACACCAGCGCCCTCCCCCTCCCCCCGCACAGAGAAGAAGTGCTACCGGGAGTCCTGCGTCAGCGACGTGCTAGAGCTGGACCTGGACCTGGACCTGGCCAGGAGGCCGTCCCCCGGCTCCCCTGGCAGCGGGGACAATAGGGACGGAGGCTGGCGTCCCCCGCACCGCCTCTCACTCCTCTCGTCTGGCAGCCACTGCAGCTCCCACTCGTCGGGCATCGAGGCCGACTCCCAGCTGGCGGGGCCCGTGGAGCCCGGGGAGATGTCGGTGGATGAGCCCATCGTCGGGGCTGCAGCGCTCCACGGGGAGGAGCCGCCCAGCAGCTCCAGGACCAGCCAGAGCAGCCGTGGCACAGTTGGTGGTGGCAGAGGTGGGCCTGAGGGCGACACCCGGGACCAGGGGGAAGGTGAGTGTGTTGCTTGGCTAGATGCCGGCTGGGTCATCGCTGTGGGTGGCGGGAGAGGCTGGGGTGCTCGTCACCCAGATTCTGGGGACCTTGTTACACGGGCCCCTCCACCACAGGGCCTGGGAGCAAAGAAGGGAGGACAGGGCCCTCCCTGCAAGACGCAGCGGGTGGTGGTCCTTCAATCCCCCTGCAGCTGGTAGCTCCTAGGGAGCCTAGCCTGGCCAGTGTCCCTCATGTAAGATCCCATCGGAAAGCATTCAGCCAGGTTTCTCTCTTGCTACCCACTGGGTCAGTAGAAGTCACATGACAGTCGGCCACTTATGAGCCATTCTAGGACCAAGCACCCACCCGGCTTAGCATGAGCTCCTTGTCCCCAAGGATGCTTCCGCAGTAGGTCTGGGAGTGGGGGCCCTGAAGTGGTTCCTTGTCACCCCAGGAAGGTTACGCAGGCTCTGCTATTCCCTGAGCACCTGCAGCGTCTTTGAGAGTGGATGCAATGGGTAATCGTGGGGACCAGCCTCAGGGCCTGGCCACCCAGGTCCACCTAGAGTCACCCAAGGTTATGCAGGGTCACCCAGCATCACCCAAGTCCACCCAGAGTCATTCAGGGTCACCTAAGGTCACCCAGAATCATTCAGGATCACCCAGGGCTACCCAGGGTCACCTAGAGTCACCCAAGATCACCTAGGGCCAACCAGAGTCATTCAGGGTTACCCAAGGTCAGCCAAGATCACACAGTGTCAGGTGGTTTTGGTCAACCTGCCGTGTCCACCTTTACATTCTGAGCGATAAAGGACAGATCGGTCTCCATCTCTGAGGTTTTGCCCAAGTGTGTGGTCTGCAATCTGGTATGAGCAATAATAATGATAAGATGGTGTTTGCCCAGTAAGAGCCTGCTTTGATTAGACATCAGAGCACTTGGACAACTAAAGCAGCCCAGTGCGCAAGGACAGGGCAGTGTGAGGGGGGGGGGGGGGGGGGGGGGGGGGGGGGGGGGGGTCCTGGGGGACCACGCAGGGAGAAGGCTGGGACAGGCCGAGACCACCTAAGGGGAGGAGCCCAGGTCGCCCACAGAAACCATCGCTCCTCGAAAGGGCTCCGACACCTCACGTGGAGAAGACACGTGACAGTCTGGGGTTCCAGATGACCTGCAGGGAGGAGGCCGAGGTCACAGCGCACCTCTCTGTGACCCCGAGGCCTGAGAGGGGGAGTGCGGGAACCATAGAGGCACCCAGTCTCATCTCAGAGTTTGGGGCCCTGGGGTGGGCTGCCCTCTGCAGGGAGCAGGCGGGTGTCCCCGGGCCCTGCTCACGTGCCCTCGCCCTCCTCGCAGCCTCTCCCCAGCAGCCCTTGGCCGCGGTGCGGGTCACGCTGGTGAGCACGAGGGGCCCGAGCGCTGAGGCCCTGCACCAGGTAGGTCCCCACGTGGGCCAGGCGGCCTCTCCCTGTTCTGCGTGGCGCCTCGTCAGGTCAGGGGCCCCAGGCCCGCCCGAGGGTCCCCGGGAGACTCGTCGGGCAGTGGGGGACCGGTGAGGCTTTAGGGAGCGAGGCGGGTCAGGAGCTGGGTCCTCCGCGGCTGAGAGCTGAGAGTTCCGCCTGCCGTGTGGTGCGGCCACCGGCCCCGCCCCCTTCCCAGGCGGTGGGCGGTGTGAACAAGGCCCGCACAGCTCGGGCCCCAGGAGTGCGGGGCTCTGGGGGGCTGCGCCCCTGCCCCCAGGAGCAGGAGGGGGGCCAAAGCCAGTGGCCCTGGGAGGTGGGGCAGAGGAAGGGGTAGCTGGAGGCGCCGGGCCTTGCTTAGGGCGGACCTGGGGGAGCCCCAGTGGGCGGGTGGTGACCCTGGAAAGAGAGTGAATGTTGGGGTGCGATTTGACTCAGAGGGAGGCGGGCGGGCGGGGGCCCGCAGGAGGTGGGAGTTCAGCGGAGGCGGGGGCGGGGGCGGGGGCGGGAGGGGGAGAGAATGGAGGGGAGGGTGAGGCGGCTGCAGGACAGCCTCCTGGTCTCTCCCTGCAGGTGCCGGAGGCCCGGGCGGCAGCCGGCCCCGCGGCCCCGCACAGCCGCAGCGTGGACGACGCGCGCCCCGCCCCGCGCCGCGCCCCGCGCCCCGCCCCGCGCAGCTGCCCCCTCCGCCGCGCGCTGGACCCCGGGCCGAGGAGGTCCGTGAACTCCCGCTCCCTGGACCTGCTCGGAGAAGACCACCACCCCGAGGAGTTCGTGGTGTAGACGCCTCGGGGTACCGCTTCACCCCCGCAGGGCCCCGTCCGCGCCGCACGGCTCCGCCCACTTGGGACTCTGTCCCTGCAGCGCCGCTCCATCCACGCGGGGCTCCGTCCATCTCTCCATCCACGTCTCGCCGGCCCTCTCTGACCTGGAGGCTCCCACCTACCACCGCCAGGCTGAACGGGGCCTCTGGCACCGCCCCTTTTACCTGGCGGCTTTGCACCTTCACCTGTCTGAGGGGTGGAGCCACCTCTGTCAGGCCTGGAGGTGCCGACGAGGTCTCATTTTCCCTGCTGCTCGGACTATGGCTGGTCCGAGCATCATCCGAGGTCCGCGGCTCCAGTCTCTGCGCAGTGGCGCGTGGGCCGTGCTGCCTCTAACGCTCGAGGGAAGGTGTTTCAGCTCAGGGGTCCCCAACCGCCCGGCCGCGGCCTGTTTGGGGCCGGGCCGCACAGCATGCCCTCCGGAGCTCGCATGACCGCCTGAACCATCATTCCCCCACCCCCACCCGCCACCCCGCCTGTGGAAAGAGTGTCTTCCACCAAACCGGTCCCTCATGCCAAAAAGTTTGGGGACCAATGTCCTAGCTGCTCTCGGACATTGGAGAGACCTCTGGGGTTCCCCTGCCACCAACTCCTCGATAGATGGTGAGACCAAGAACAGTAAGCTTCCCGGGAGTCCTTGAGCTCACGGTCACCGTCGTTGTCACTGCACTGGCCACAGCTTCCTCAGACCACCCTCTCTGCAGCCCCTGCTGTTCACAGCCCTGGGCCCACTGGACAGAGGCGCCTCTGTGAGCCGTGGGCCCAGCTGCGTCACCCCAGACCCTCAGCAGAGCCCACCTTGTCCGCCGTGTGTACACAGAGGCACTGGGCCTGGAACCGCACAGCCACGTGGACACTGGTCCCGTGGAGCTGGTGGCAGGAAGTGGGAGGGGCAGGCTAAGGAGGAAGCCGTGATCTACTCTGACTCACAGAAGGAAGGCTCCAGAAGAAAGCCCGCCAGCGCAGAGCCTGAGTTTTCTCCTTCCCATCACAAGTCAGGCTCTGAAGGCGGTCCTTCCCCACCTCCTGCCCCAGTATCCACCCAGCCCGGAGGGCGTCTGGGCACCAGGGAGCCGTGGCATCTAGTCAGCACTGGTCACCCCCCCGCCCACCGGCCATTCAGTGCACCTGGCCCCTCCCCAAGTCAGAAGACTGGATGGGAGGTGGGGACAGGGATGGGTCCGGACCGCCAACACCCCTCGTCTGGGGCAGGAGACCCCTTCCGAGCTTCGCCACCTCTCCAGCTGGCGGCTCCACAAGTGGCTGAATGGCTGAGTGGAGCTTCACAGTGATTTCTGGAAAAGCATATTGAGGGACTTTGACCTTCGCTGGGGGCCGTACTGGCCGGTGATTAAGAGGCCGGTGAGCAGGCCGAGTGTCCCACTTAGGGCTGGACCCGCCGGGGTCGGGGCGCCCGGAGGGTGGGCTGTAGTTAACGCTGTGCTTTCCCGTCCAAGTCAGGGCAGCTGCCCCAGGGCTGAGACATGGCCCCCATCGCCTCCAGGGCCCTACATGCAGGGGGCCTTCTCGAACCGTCCACCTCATGGACAGTGCAGAGTGGCTGCGCTGAGCCCAGACGGCGGAGGGAGCTGGCCTCAGGTTGGCGCTCTGTGTCCCCAGAGGGAAAGGCAGGGCTGGTGCCGTGTCTCACCTATCTCCTGACCCCAGCTGGGCCCTGCATTCCTTGCTCTGGAACAGGTGGGACTCCACGGGTAACACCACCCTCCCAGCCTGAGGCTGGTGACAGGCACGTGGCGTGGTGTGGCTTAATTCACTTGTGTGTCCCTCTGGCCCTACCCCCACTTGCACACGTCCTGCCCTCTGTCTGGACGCACTGACCTGTGTGTCACTGTCGGATAGTCCCAGGCGCTGTGCCCGAGACACCATCGTCCCCTCCCTGTTCTGCTCACGCCTTGAGGACCCCACAAGGGCTGTGTTTTGGGGACGGGGTGGAGCCTGAGCCCAGGGGGCGGGGTCTGAAGCCTAGCCTTAACCGGGCCTCTTGGTCCTTACTGTGAAAGGAAATCGCACTCGTGCGCACACCGCGCATGTGTAATGAAGAGCTGCACACACGTCCGTGTGTCTGCACCTGGGCAGCCTGCGCCGGGGGCGGGGCGCCGGGAGGCTGGGCGGGGCGGCCACACGAGTACTAGATTCTCGCGGTGAGGGTTCCTGGACACCGAGAGCTTCACCTCGAGAAGAACCACGGTGTCCTAGTGCTGCGTGGACGGAGGAGCTTGGAGGGGAGACCAGCCCCCGCCCTTGGAGTTCATGTTTGTCTAAGTCGTTTTTTAAAGAAGCATGGTGGGGGCGGCTGAAGGGCGGTGCTGCCGCGGGGCACGGGCCGGCAGGGGGGCCTCATCTGCTCAGTCTTTCCCTCATTAAGCAGACGTCACCGAGTCAGGTCACGTGCCAGCACTGGGTGGACGCCAGACGGGGGCAGTACCCCCCAGCACGGAGCGCGGTGAGGGCCAGGGTCGGCCGTGGTAGTGCTGGACCTCCCGGGCCGCCCTTCAGAGTCCCCTGTGCAGGAGGTGCCCACATGCCCAGCCGGGCCTCCCCGAAACAGGGCTCCCGAGGACACCTAGCCTGTGGCCACAGGAGCAGGCGGCGAGGGAGGTGTGGTCCTGGAGGACGGGCATGGGCATCCAGAGCTGTTGCGGGCCTGAGCCCTTGCTTTTCCGTGAGTTTCCGAGGTCACACTGAGTCGGGTCCCCATGGTAAGAACTGAGGCTGCATCTGCCCTGGTCTAGGGTCCTTTAAAGGAACTTTTGGGAGCAAGAGCCCAGCCTAACGGACTGCTTTGCGGTCCCACACACACACCCATACGTGTGCACACGCGTGCACACGAACGTGGGCAGAAGTGGTGAGTGGGCGCGGAGCGGTGGAGGGAAGCTTTCACCGGGTGCCCACTCGGAGCCCCTCGCGGGGACTCGGAGCTCTGGCGTCTGAGCGCCCGCTCCCGCCCCCGCGCCCGCGCGTCCCGAGGCTGCCACGAGAGGGCGCTGGCGGCGCGCTGTGGCTCCGGGGCGGCAGGGACCTGGGTGCGTCCCGCCCCCGCGCGGCTCTGGAAGGCGGGGGCGTGGCCTCGGGGTTGGGGGCGGGGCCGCTCAGGCTGCGTGGCTTCCGACCTCGAACGCGGGCTGCGCCTGCGTCTGTCACCCCCGATCCAACCCACCCCGACTTGAGGGTGGCCGGCGCCACGGGCCGAGAGAGGCTGCGCGCAGCCCCTGTGTCCTTGGCGGAAGAGGCGGCAGGGACCGCTGGCTGACCCCGGAAACCACCCGAGCTCTGTTCCTATTTCTGCGCTCCCTCTGGGCCTTGCGGAGACACGGCGAACGGCCGCGTGTCCGCTCAGCACCGGGGCTCCGCGGTGGCTGGGCAGCGCAGGACGGTCCGGGGCCAGGCGGCACCGCGCCCCGGTCTCCAGCCCCGTCCCGCCGGCCCGGAGGCCGCGAAGGCCGGCAGAGGGGGCCCGTCCCCGGGGGAGGAGGGAGGCTTCTCTGCAGCAGCGGGAAAACCGCCTCTTCGTCTTGCGTGGGTTCGGACCCAAGGCCTTTCGGGCAAGGCGGATGCTGCAGACGCCCCGGAAGACGGGTGTTAGCCAGCAGGGGGCCGCAGTTTGTGAGGGGTCACTCAGGACTGAGCCACCTTCGCCCCGGGGGTCGTGTGGCCCCCAGGGCTGCGGGGGGCGCCCCGACACGTCTCCCTCCACACTCGTCAGGGCTGAGAGGCAAGACCCCCAGGTTCCCTCTGGACGCTGGAGGGCGGGCGGGCGGATGGCTCAGGAACGAGTAGGCCGGACATGACCGCCGGCTCCCCCGTGAGGCCGGAGGTCACGCTAGCAGGTCCAGTTCCCGAGAACCCCGAGGGCTTGTTCAGGGCCAGCCACCCGCTGCTGGGCCCTGGGAACCTGCATGTGGACCAGCGTGGCCCGTCTGCCCCGGGGACTCTGGGGCCAGAGAAGCACCGCAGCCCAACCTGGCGGCAGGTGTTTGGGGGCCTCACCCTCTCGGTCATGGGCCAGGACTCCAGGGTACGTGTCCAGCCGGCCACCTCCGCTCTGTGAAGCCTTCTCTGCCCTCTGGCCCTGGCTCCCTCTTGGGAGACAGAATCCGGGTTCAGGGTGTCCTTTCTCCAGGAAAGCCTGATGCCCCAAGAAGGGCTGCATGGGCTTTGAGACTCGGAAGAGAGGAACACGTCCCTCAGCTGTGTCCGGGGACCCTGGGGGCAGGCCCTGCCCGGGGCTCCTGCGGTGGGGACTCTGCGGCCCAGGCACGGAGGAGACGGGCAGGGCGAGCTGACCGCCAGGCCATGGGCATTGGGCTTTGGGCCCCATCAGCATGTTCACATGGGGACACTGTTTGGAAAAATGTGCAGGACTGGGACTTTTTAACCGTCAGTGGTTAAGCTGGCTGTCCCTCCACCCACCGTGCACCCCGTCACCCTCCCCGTGGGTGGAGCCGATGGGCACTCGGGGCCCAGCCAAGGGGGAAGTGGGGTTTGGTGGGAGATACCCGCGGGGTTCACAGTCACGGACAGATGAACGGGGACAGCAGTGGCCTGCGGGAGGACCCCTGCGGTCAGAGGTCATGTCTCGTGGGGACCTTGACCCCCCAGTGCCGGAAGCACGCGGCAGCAAAGCTGGCACCGCGGGGGCGGGGGTGGCAGGGAGGCCCACGGCTCACAGACCTCCCAGGCCCTCCCGTGGCTGTGAAGGGCGAAGCCACAGACACCAGCGTCGGGGGAAACCGGGAGAAAGCAGGGTGACTTCCTCGGTCAAGGACGTGGTCGAGGACGCAGCCAGGAGAGGCTGCCGGTGCTGACGGATGAAGTGGTGGAAGCGCCTCGCGGAATCCTGTGGTTATTAGTGCAATTCGCATGCTTTGAAAAGTTTAGACGTTGTGACTTGACGGTGTTGAAGTTTTTCTCTAGGTATTTGTCTGCTACCTACTTTAGAGTACATCACCTTATTTTTTTTCCCTTGAGGGAGCGTCCCCATTACCATCAGTTTATATAAGATTCAGGCCGCAGGCCCAGCCCACCTAGGCCCTCCAGGGGCTCTGCCTGAGGACCTCTGGTCACAGACGGGAACGTGTCCCAGCGCCCCCTCTGCTCTGCTTCCTCCCGGGGGCCATGGGGTTCCCGTGAATGCAAACCCAGCTTTCCTCCGAGAGCAGATGTAGGAACACGTTAATCGTTAATACACCTCGGCAACCTGAAAAGGCCACGGCCCCCCGGGAATCTCGTGGGCGTGGCTGGAAGCTTTGAGGGGGAGGGCGGCAGCCAGCAGAGGGAGGTGCGGGGTGGATGTAGCACCAGGGCTGGGGCCGTCCACGGCGGGCAGCTCGGCCTGGCGATGGGTTAGCAAGTCCGGGAAGCAGGTTCCCCAAAGTGGCAACAAGTCCCCGAAGCAGTTATTTGCCAAACCTTGGGGACAGCCAGCTCCCTCCCTCAGCTGTCCTTGCACGAGGCCTGTCCCGGGACAGCAGGGCGGGGGCACCTGGGTCTACCTGAGAGGTTCTGGTCCACACACCTGCCCCTGCTGCCGCTGTGTGGACGGGTGTGCAGACATGGGGGCCACATCTAACCCCCGAATGGCTATGGAGTCTTCGAGGGCGGGGCTATGCCCCGTGTACGGAACAGCCCGGTGCTCCCACAGGGCGCGGCGTCGTGCAGTGGGCTTCCCAGGGGTGGCCCCGTGACTGAGTGAGCGAGTGGACACGGGCCACACTCTGGGTACAGGTGCCCAGGGCGCCCAGGGGGCGCTGCCGGCTCCCTCTGGGCCCCACGAACCCTGCCTCCGGCCCAGCCCGGGCGTCCCCTGGGAGGGAGGATGTGGGCAGCTGCCCGCGTGCCTGGACCGCGGAAGCCCCTGGAGCCTGGACGGCATGCTGGCGCCCCACAGGGACGCCACGGTGAGGCTGAGACCCCACGTCTGCTTCCTCAGCAAATGAAGTGTTTTCTGTTTCTGCCAACAGCGCAGAGTCAGAGAGCTGTCCTGTGCTCTGTTCTGGGGCTGGCCCGTGGCCACTCTTGAGGGCTGGGACTCCATCGGCCACGACGACGTGCTGGCACAGCCCTGGCCGGCCCCCAGGACCCCTGCCCTTGGCCGGTGGCAGCTCTCCCCCCTCCTCCGCATGCCCCTGTCACTGTCTGTCAGGGTGTGGCCCGCTGTTCCAACCGTGAGGCTCGTGGTGGCCCAGGCCTGGGCGACTAGTGACTGTCTCAAGGGACATCCTCAGCGGGCGTCCAGCGTGGCAGGCAGCGTCTCCTGGGTGCTGTTCTCACCGCAGGAGGACACGGGGCCGTGGGGGGACAGGGGAGGTGGAGCAGGGAGAACTGGTCACACGCACGGGAGAGAGGTGGGGCGCTGTACCCGCCACAGCCGGTGCCACCTGCTTCTCCCCAAAGAACAGCCAAGCGGGGGCAGTGGGCGCGTGGGCCCGGGGGACGAACAGAGACACGATCGGATGGTCACACAGAGCCTGGCCCAGGGCCCAGTGCCTAGAGCAGCGGCCACTGTCCCCGAGGGCAGAGCCCATCTCACGCGGCCGGGCACCGTGGGAGCATGGCGGGCGGCTCCTCTGGCCTCGCAGCCCTCAGGGCTGTGACCTGTCCCTGGCTCTCTGGGCACCCGTGTCCCCCAGCTCCCTCTTCTATGCCGAAATAGACGCAGGAGCTGACAGCAGTCCTGCCCAGCTGCTGCGGTCCGCGCCTGTCCTGTGGAGAAACTCGGTTACTGCTGTCCTGCTGTATTAAGGCTTCGAATCCGCCCCAAAAGGCCTCGTCCCACTAACGGGATTCCTAAGCTTGGCAAGCAGGTGAGGGGCAGTTTGAGAATGGAGCTCGCTGCAGTCGCATCCACCTGCTTTCGGGCCAGCCCGTTAAGCCCTCGGGGGGCGACTTGGCGCCGTGGCAGTCTCAGGTTGTCACGACGATGGGGCTGGGCGTCCTAGGATTACGCAATGCGCAGAGGGTCCTGTTCCGCGAACACGTCCCTCACACCCGCAGGATCTGCCGACATGCCGGCGGGCACTCCCAGGTGAGGACCGTGCGTGTGCTGAGCCTGGGGCCCCACCCTGCTTCCCGCCCCGTCACGCAGGATCGCCCCTGCGGCTTTAACGCCCCTCTTCGCAGGAACGCGAAAGTCACGTGAGTCAAGGGAAGCTGAAACTGATTTGTTTGTCACGTTAGGGAGTTTTCACCATTTTAGAAGATTCTACCTCCACTGGCTACGCTGCTCACGATATCTGAGCTGTGAATATGAAACACTTCTGTGCCCTGCTGCTTCCGTAGCTGCCACGTTCGTGCAGGTGTCACACACAATAGGTCCACTTAGCCCTTCTGTTTAAGTCGTCTGCCATCTCTCTGCTGATCCATCTATCATGGATCTAATTGTGTGGTTGATGGTGTGTGATTCCTCCACGCAGCACCCCTCCCGCCCCCAGCGCTGGCCCCTCGGGTCCCTGGGGAGCCGTGTCCCAGCGGCTGGGACGCAGGGCGCAGCCCACGGCTCCTGCATCGCATGGCTGCCACCCCTCCTGTCATGGGCACCTAGAAGGCACGCTCGGGAGGTGGGTGCCCTGGGGGGGTGCAGAGTGCCCAGCCTGAGACACTGGCGGCCACTGTGGAGCGGAGCCCCTCCTTTGGGCTGGGACCAGCGTGTCCCGTCCTTCCTGGAGGTGCTGGCTGTGCCTGGGCGCTGACCCGGACCCACTGCGACCCACTCCCTGAGCTGTGCACAAAATCTCTGTCAGGGTCCTCCGCTTTTCGCTTCGCCTTTGGGTGCTACCGCTTTCATTTCCGCGTGTAGAAAAGATCTAAACCATTCTGATCTAAATCAGAACGCACATCTTCCGCGCGGCTCTGGGATTCCTCTTGCCCGGAGCGTGGCAGCCCTTGCGGGGTCTTCCCACCCGGGCACCCCCTCTCCCGCTCATCTTCCTCCCTCCCCGACAGGGCCAGGCCTCACGGACCAGGCTCCCGGAGGCTGGGGTCACACCCTCTGTGAGACCGGTGACCAGACCCTGGTCCTCTCGGGGACGCCCGCGTGTTCCCTGCTGCGGAGCTACAGACCCTTCGCTGGGACACGGGGGGGCCACACGGCACTAAGCAACTGATGCCTCCACGCTCACCTGCCCGCCGGGCCCTGACCCGGGCGGCTCCCTCCCGAGCACCGTCCTCTCTGGGCACATGCCACACCCTCGGAGCAATGGGGTGATGTGGGGAGAGCCACACGGACGGTCCACCCTTGTGGACGGCCCTCCGCAGCCTGGCGGGCCTGTAACAACGCTCAGATGCTCTGAGAAGCAGCGGAAAGTCCGTTACTGCACTGACACCCGCTCAGCAGCCACCGGCAGGGACGGGGCTGCGCCTGTCCCAGGAGGGATGTGGGGACAGCCAGGACCACAGCCAGGAACAACGACGGGGTGTGTTTCCCACATTCGCAGCTGCCGGGCTCCAGGGGGATAAAGCTGCCCCGCTCTCCTCTCCAAGTCCACAGGGCCCCCCAGTTCTGTCTGCAGGCCCCAGGGTTGAGGGCCGGGGTCCCCTCTCGAGTCTGCATCATGCTCAGCCCCCTGACATGGGCTCGAGCAGGTCCTCGTGAGGGGGAATAAGGACACACAGTCACCTGCTCTTTGCGGGGTGCATGCACCCGGCACCCCATTACACCCCGTCTGTGCCGAACGAGGGGACAGGTTCCCCGTCCATCCTGCTGGCAGCCAGCCAGCCCCTGGGACCCACCCGTGGGCCCCGCCCAAGTCCTCCCCCTCAAAGGCGGCTCCTCGGATGCACCTGCCTCCCCCAGCCTCCTGCTGCCCCAGTGATCTGTCCAGACGTGGGCCGGCTTTACAGGCTTCAAATTCAGCGTGTTTATTTTCACAGCACACGCGTTACAGGCAATGCCAGGAAGCACATTTTAAGGGAGAAAAGCTCGCGTCCACCTCTCCTTCACCTGAGTTTTCTGGGGGCTGGATGGCTTCGCTCTCTTGCGGCGCTCGCTCAGGCTTCAAGCCCCAGGCTCTGCAGCGTCTCAGCCACGTGCCTCTGGCCTGGGCCACACCCATGATCGCCCGTAACTTTGCATCACCTCCTTGTAAAAAGAAGTGACGACACGCAGTTGGAAAGATTCTAACGCAAAAGTGGCATCTCTAAAGTCCTGCGAAGCCCAGGTCGCAGCCGTACCCGCCGTCTCCGTACACGCCGGCTCAGGAGGGGTGAGCCCGGCCCCCAGCAGCGCCAGCCCAGGCGCCCCAAGGGCTCCCCGCGGAGTGCCCCTGCAGCTTAGGGGGCAGAGGCCCCCGGCTGCGCCTGGCGAGGCTGGGGTCCCGCTTTGTGCTTCGCGGGGCCCTCGGCCTCCTCCGGACCCTTGGCAAGGAGCACCGGGGCTTCTCCCTACAGTGGAATCCAGCTCTTGCTTTCCTCAAGGGCCAGCAGTAGGGTGAACAGTTTGGGAGGAAGACCAAAGACAGGGGAAGGGCGGGCGCGGAGGGGACGCGAGGCGGAAACAGCAGCCCGGCCATGGGGACTAGAGTGTGGGCTGCGGGCACCCGACCCTGCACCCCCTCCCCCTCAGCCATGCACATCCTGGGCTGAGCGCCAGCCCCCCTCTCATCCTGTGGACAGAGCGAGAGGGAAACCCCGAGACCAGGGACAGAAAGGGCCCTGGAGCATCACCTCAGCCATCCCAGGACGGGCTGCAGCTCCAAACAGAGCAATCTGTCCCCTCCCCTGCGTTTCTATCCCTCCCCTGTGTGTTTCCATCCCCCTACCCCATGTTTATCCCCCATGGCAGGAGCTCCATTAGCCTCCCATGACTGGTGTCTCCCAAGGAAAGACAAGCCACTTAACTGTTGTCAAATTCGGTAGGAGACGCTGGGGGTGCCCACCCTGCCCCTCCCGTCCCGAGCTCCCTGCTGGGTGGGCGGCCTGAGCTAGGCCAGGGCTGCCTTGAGGAAAGTCTGACAGAGAAGCTCAGCTCAGGAACCTGCCTGCCGGGACAGACAGCCTGGTGCAGGACAGAGCCCCCATCGAGTTCCCCCCATCAGCTCGGAGCTTGAGCTGGTGAGGGCCAACGTCGTCAGGTCACCTCGATCCCCAAACCCACAGCCTGATGCTTCAACAGCCCCGAGGGTCGCCCACACTTCTTCTAACTCAGTCGGGTCTCTGGCACCTGCAACCAGGAATCCAGCCTCCACGTGGCCAGGCAGTGCACACAGCCCAGAGCAGGGGCGTCCGTGCAGGTGCAGTGCAGTCCCACCCCCTGTGTGTGCCGCACCCCTAGGAACTTGGAACCCAGCCGGAGGGGCTGGTGGTGCCCACACTCCACAAACCACCCAGGGCCAGACGACACTGAGAAGAGTGACAGTGTCCTCAACAGGACTGCAAATCCCGGGGAAGGGCCGGCAGCAACCCCGAGAGCCGGGGAGCCCCCCAGGAGACGTGGCCGGGAGGGGCGAGCCCGGGGAAGGGCCGGCAGCAACCCCGAGAGCCGGGGAGCCCCCCAGGAGACGTGGCCGGGAGGGGCGAGCCCGGGGAAGGGCCGGCAGCGACCCCGAGAGCCGGGGAGCCCCCCAGGAGACGTGGCCGGGAGGGGCGAGCCCGGGGAAGGGCCGGCAGCGACCCCGAGAGCCGGGGAGTCCCCCAGGAGATGTGGCCGGGAGGGGCGAGCCCGGGGTGAGGGGCAGGGGGGCAGCAGCTCCCCTCTTTGGGGCACCGATGGGGATGGCAGTGCCGAGCGCGTCCTGGAGCAGGTGGGTGAACCGCTGTTCCTGTTGGGACGTGGCCTCTGCCTGCCGACAGCACTCCCAGGATGTCTGTGAGGGCCGCCAGGCTCCGTTTGATGCACAAAGTCTCCCTCAGGGCTGATCCCGTCGCTCCAGACACCCTGGCAAAGTGCAGAGACCCCGCCCCACACAGGATTTACATGAATTCAGGGTGACATCAAGATGAATCAGAAAAGCAAAACGGAGGCTTCTCGGGAAGAGCAGGTGGGGGAGACCCTGCGTCCCCTTGGTGTGCCCCTCTGACAACCACGCAGCGCCAGCAGGGGAAGCTTTTAGGGGAACCGGGCTCCTCGCCCCACAGGTCGCCTGTGGGGAGCAGTGTTTGGATTGACACGCAGGGTCTCGGTGCTGAGACGGCACCAGGAGGATGGAGCTGGGATTTAGAGGGCATCTGGGAGGGGACAGCGGGCCTGGGACCCCCGTCCACTCACGGTCAGGAGCCCTCGTCCCCAGGCCACCCAGGGGAAGGCTTCCCGCTCTCACCCACACGCTCGCTGCCCGCCAGGCCCACGAGCCACAGCTTGGCACACACAAGCTCCCTGTGGCCGGCTGGGCCCAGGGACCCCCGCCCGAGTCCTTGGGTCCTCGGCGACACAGAAGTGGTTCTGCGGGACGTGCTCGGCCTCCTCCCGGTGGCCGGCAACCGGGGCGCGGGGCAGAGGAGTTCTGTGGGCAGTGACCAACTTGACCGCGGGTCTGCTGCCGGGGAGTGACAAGTGACAGGAGACGGTCCCCAAGCTCCCCTCAGCCTGCCACCCGCTGAGGCCCCTTCAGCTCCTTCCCAGAGGCCAACACCTTGCACAGAGCAAGACCCTGGTTGGCTTCATCCCTTCCTCTTAAAGGCTGACAGGAAAGGGGCCCAGTGACCCTGAGGGGATCCTCTGGGTAAAATAGGAAAGAACAGGCAGGAGAGAGCATTTTTCACTGTTGAGAGCTGAACTAATGCCTAAGTAGTTCCAAGAAAATGAGCTAAGGTTTGTTAGAAAGACTTGGTAATGACATTAATTAAAATCCCAGCTGAAAAATCTATTACCTTATAGAAACAAATTCTACAATTTCTGTTTTAATAATACACAAAAAAACCACAAAACTTCTGAGAAAGTCTTCTTCATGTTGATGTACATACCAGTTTCACCATGTGTTATTCCTAAACAGACTTTTTAAAAGATTTTTTAAACAAACCCTAAATAGCGTATCCCTATGTAGAAAGCAAAGAAAACACACTTACGTTTAGAAAGAACATGAAAGCGACTCTGGGCCCACTGCCTGGGGGCGCCCAGCCTTTTCGTCTGTGGACCAGACTTGTGGGCACCAACAGCCAGGGCTCCCTCGGCAGCACTGTCCGCCCGGCGCTCCTTGGGGGCAAGGTCGGTCCTAGGACTGGTTAGCGCGGGTCCAGCTGGTGGGCAGTTAGTAATCCGGGCATCGCCTTCCCCTCTCTGCCCCCTTGCCTGGGCCATGAGTTTCAAGTGACCTCGAGACAAGATGGGTCAGGAACGTAGCCCACACTGGCCTGAGACTGGGGTGAGGATGCCCTTTCTAGGGTGAACCCCCTGGGCCCGGGGCTTCTTTGTTACCGAGTGTAGGCCCTAGACCAGTAGCTCTCCACGGCGGCTCTGGGTCCGTGAGCTTGGAGAAATGCACATCCCTCGGCCTTGCCCCAGCCCTGGGGCTGCGATCACGGTGTGGGGTGAGGAGGTGTCTGTGTTTCCACAAACCCCGCAGGTGACCCCATGTGCGCTCCCCTAGACTTACTGACCAATGATGACCTACAGACCCTGGCGACACGTGCATGATTTTCTTACACAACTGGAATCATTTTATATACTGGTGTGTAACTTTCTAAGCCCAAATCACAATTACAGCGTCATTCATGCTGAATGCATCACATTCCAAGGTAAAAGTATGCCATTTCCTTCTTATTTAACAAAGCGCCCTCCTTCCTCCCACCCCACACCCCCTTTCTTCTCAGCCCGGGGTCCCTGTGGCTCTTGGGTTTGGGTTCCAGACCCTCCGAATATGTGGCTGCAGTTCCTCCCCAGGGCTCTGTGCGATGCCCAGAGCCTGCAGGTGCGCGGATTCTGTCCTTCGCACGTGGCTTTCTATTACAGGCAACTGACCGGGCGCAGACGGCCGCTCGCCGCTGCTGCGGGGGAAGCGGCTGTGGTAGAGGCACCGCGGTCAGCAGGTGAGATCTGGAGAAGTCGGCAGGCGCTGCGGTGGCCGCCTGCGCGGCCGAGCTGCGGACCCCGCCACGAGCGTCACGAGCCCCACCGCACTGAGGGCGGACCCCGAGGGTGCCCAGAGCACACGAACGTCCCCGAGGGACCGGGGAGGCCCGCCTGCACGTCAACCTCGAACTCTCCGCACAGAGACCTCGCATACAAGCTAAGCGTACCCAGCTCAAGAAAGCAGCACATCGTAGACAAAATTAAACATCATAAATCAGATTTTTACTGTTATGAGGCCTAACTGCCTCACTGTGCCTCTAACTGCTTCGCCCTGAGATAATCAGCTGGTTTGCAGCCACATGGAGGTTCCCAGCCTTTTCAACATCAAGCGTTCTTTTAGGTACGGCACCCTCAAGAGCCTCAAGACTTTAAAATGCTTTGTGTATCAAATCAAACTTATGAAAGAAAAATTTCATTTACTTTCCTATTTTAATTCATGAGATATGACAGCTAAGTAGAACTTCTGATCTGCAGGAGACAATATTTTGATCATGTTTTCTATTAATCAAAAGCTGACAGTTCTGGATAACTTGTGTAAATTACCGTGATTTCCTTTAGGCTTTTTCAAGTGTTAGAAATAGCTTGCAGACCCTTCCCTCGATAACTTCGAGACCACAGGACGTGGGCAGCATGACGCTGACCCTTTATCCCTTCTCCTCCCTGTGTGGTCAGTCAGGTGACCCCCCGCTTGGAGCAAAGCTGATTCATGAACATGGGTTTAAGAATGCAGAGCTCTGGGGCTTCCCTGGTGGCGCAGTGGTTGAGAGTCCGCCTGCCAATGCAGGGGACACAGGTTCGTGCCCCTGTCCGGGAAGATCCCACATGCCGCGGAGCAGCTGGGCCCGTGAGCCGTGGCCGCTGAGCCTGCGCGTCCGGAGCCTGTGCTCCGCAACGGGAGAGGCCACGACAGTGAGAGGCCCGCGTACCGCAAAAAAAATAAAGAAAGAAAGAATGCAGAGCTCTGAGGAGAAGATCTAATTAAGGTGAGGAGCTGTGCTTCCTTAGTGTATTCGGTAAAATACTGACATGGCAAGTGGAGCCCAAGGATACTGTGCTTAACTGAGTGACCTCGGGCAAGTCCTGTGACTTCTCCACACCTGCTCCCTCAGCTGAGCTGCGGGGATAACACCTGTCCCATCAACTCTTAATGAAGATATTCTAAAGGATTAATTAATTTGTTTTCATTGTGATTTTAAAGATCACTTCTAAAGCAAACTGAAAATTGTGAACCACACACTAAGCAGTGAAACACAAGGGACCATCTCTCGGGGACAGCACCGACTTGGACGATGCGGCCGGTTCTCCGTGGGGCGCCTTGCAGGTGCCGTTGTTCCCAGAGCTCGGCACCTGGACTACTCACTCGTAGGTCAGCCCAGAGATCTCCTTCCCCTCCTGGGTTGTCGGCACCTGTGGCTCCGACCCAGACGCCTCTCGACACCTGCCGTTGGCCAGGAGGTCAAAAACGTCATTGTTATAAACTTCCACTATGAAAACTTCCACCTCGGGGCTCCTTGACGGATCTTCTGAAATCAGCCTGGAGGAGGGGCAGGGAGGGACACACAAGAGACTAAACCGTCAGAGGAGCTTAGATAACCCCGTGGAGAAAGCAGTTAGAGAATGATTTCAATGAGAGACAGTCCCGGAAAATGGGCAGCAAAACTCATGATTCATGATCACAGGGCAGCATCTCACTAATCAAGACGACGGAGGAAGAAGGGAATGTCCTCCTTAAATTGCAGAGAAAAATAACTGTCTTGGGAATACAGACAGTTTTATCTGAGTTGTATCTAAATCAATGATTTCAGCATTCGGTTTCTAATCACATTCTATAAAGATGCTTGAAGAGCCCACAGCCTTGAGTCAGAAGTCACCACACCCGAGTTTAATCCCACCCAGAAGCCCAAAGCAAGCTGCAGAGGCTTTGAGCACTGGTCCAGCAACTGGGCTTGTTTATTTTAAATTCTGTTCTGTTTCAGGGGAGATTGAGTCCATGGAACTGAGTCAGTTCCACTGGTATAGCGCCTTCCAACTAAGCCCTGACCATGACCTCTCTAAAACCCACCCAGGCTCTTAAGAAAACAACCACACATCTTATTTTGTTTTAGGTTTTTAAGTACTACATGCAGATTGCAGATCAGTTTAAAATAAAGACACTACACACTTAGAGCAAAACCCCAGAGTCCTACCCCAGGGAGAAGTGACCCTGACCCTGGGTTTCCTCCCCGACGCCCACGTCCCTGCTTTGTCCCTTTGACAGACAACCCAGTCACCAAGGAGCAAACAATTTCATCTTGGACACTTGCCCAGCAAAGCCAGTCTGATTTTGACTACTGTGCTTTTCCTTGTCCATAAAGACATTCCAAGCACTGGCCTGGACGGGTCCTACTCAACCATTGCTGGGTTGGGTTTTTCACCAGCATCCACAAGAGAGCTATGGATAAAATGAGCCATTAATGTCTTCTAATGATAATTAAGAAAATTAGGGGCTTCCCTGGTGGTGCAGTGGTTAAGAATCCGCCTGCCAATGCAGGGGACACGGGTTCAAGCCCTGGTCCGGGAAGATCCCAGATGCCAGAGAGCAACTAAGCCCGTTCGCCACAACTACTGAGCCTGTGCTCTAGAGCCCGCGATCCACAACTACTGAGCCTGTGCGCGACAACTACTGAAGACTGCGCACCTAGAGCCCGTGCTCCACAAGAGAAGCTACCGCAATGAGAAACCCATGCACCACAACGAAGAGTAGCCCCTGCTCGCCACAACTAGAGAAAGCCTGCGCACAGCAGTGGAGACCCAGTGCAGTCAAAAATAAATAAATAAATTGTAAAAAAAAAGAAGATCAAAAAGACGACAACGAAAGAAAAATAAGCTAAATTGTCTGATGAAAATAATTGCTGGCAAAGAGCTCAGATCTGGGTTGTTCTCAGCACTGGGGTTTGCTAAGGACACTGTAAGAGTATCTGTCTGAAAAGTGAAAAACCAAGATGCACTAAGCTACAGGTTGTACATCCCCTCCGCCACACGTCAGGAAAAATGCACACAGACCCCCTCTTAGCACTCAGCTCCATCCCTCCGAGGGGCCCCAAACCTGAATTACATTTCTTATCTATACAATACCGGGGAGCTAATTGGAAAGATTTTTCTTCCATTAAATTAAGTACTTGATTTGTTTAATGCGTTGATTCATTCGTCACACAAATATCACTCAGTTACTGGCTAGATTCTGGGAACAATGCTAAAACTAGTCTTCATTCTCGGCTTTGAAGAAACGAAGTGTTTAGTAGGCAAACGATTCCTATATAGTGTGATACATTTTATATAAAATATGCAAAAGCTCCCATGAGACGCAGGACAGGCGCTGAACCCAGGTCAGGGTGGGGGGAGGTGGCGGGTCCATCACAGCCCCCACCAACGAGCACCCCCTCCAGGTGTCCTCGGCCACTTTCGTCCTGTTCACCTATTCCTGCCCGGGTCCTCCTGGGTCCTGGTTATTTGTCTGTTTCTGTTCTAGACACCTTGAGGGCTGAATATGATCACGTGTGCCTGCAGCATTGTCTAGCAGGTAGAAAAGCCTTGTAAATGCCGTGGGTAAGAATGACAGCCGAGGTCACTGGAGAAGAGGCAGGCCAGCAGCTGGGTTCCCGAGGACGCAGGAGAGGGTGTTAGGCAGAAAGAACCCCAACTAGAATTTTGCTTTATTGAAAATGGCAGGGGAATACCTTCCTTTGGTCCCCTTAGCAATTTAAGAGTAACCTTTTTTAAGGTAAAGCGTTCATATAAACATCCTCTGGTACCGATGCCCGAGGTTATTATGGTTTTGTGCTGCATCTTGAGTTGGGCACAAACTCACCGGCGAATACGGGCTGCACGCGTTCCTTTCTGGATCTTGTCCACTTGTGATTAGAAAACAAAGAGGTAGAAAATTTTCCATGTTTGTCATTCTCATTTTGCAAACAATGACAGTGAGGCCTGGGGAGGTAAGCCTCGCCCGTGGCCACCCACTTGGAAGAGCAGAGTCAAAATCCCGTCTGAAGGCTCCTAATGCTGTAAGACACCGAGCTCTATGGGAGCACCTGTCACTATAATTTAAGTTATCACTTCATGCCCAAGACTCAAAACATGAATAAACCCACTGTAGAAACGAGGTGACTTAATAATGTGTCAGTGTGATGTCCCTATTTGGTGAAGCTGTGTATCCATCTCTAGACAGGCTGACTGTCCAAGTGTGGTCCTAATGGATCTCTTTCCGGACGCCTTCAGCAGCCTCTGTCCTGCCCTGAGTCCTTGGCCTCTGTTTGCTGCCCTCGTGGACAAGCTCCAGAACCAAATACACATGACCTGTATGTTATTCGTCTGCAAATCCAGCTTCGTCTGGAACAGGCTGTAGGCAGGTGCACAGCTCACGCCAGGGATTCAATGAAGCCAAACCCTGCTTTGCCTGCCCCCGGGGGTCCCCGCACAAGACAAGAAGATGGCGGTCGTGTGAGGCTCGGGGGGAGGGTTCTCTAACTCCCCGCTCTTCTGGCCCCGTTTCTGACCTGGGCTCTTCTTTCTATCGCCTCATCTCTCTGTTTCTGGGCCTTGAAAGTATGCTTAGCAGGGAGGTAAGTTACCGGTCAATGCTTTGATACCTGGCACCAGCCACGCTGCTTCCACTGGACTGGACGGTTCTGAGCGTTACCAGCACACCTGGTAACCTGGTAACCTGCCGCCGCTCGGATCAGGCGCTTTAAATGTGGGTAGAACATGAGGGCCAGGGAGACGGGCGGAGCGCTTCTCCCCAGGACCCCTCTCCGTGGCGGACACAGCACCATCCTCTCACCCACTACCTGTCTCTCCCGTGTCCCTCTTCCATGACATCCAGGAAAGCCACCGGCTGCTGCGGCAGTCCTGCCACATCCTCCCATGCTGCTACCCAACTTCCAGCAAGCATGGCTGCGGCCAGCCGAGGGGTCCCTGGAGAGGGACCGGGTGACACCCTTGGCAAGTGCCAGCGGCTCTGCAGAGAAGTTCTGACTCACACCGAAGCCTCTGTGTCTTGAACCTGAAACGGAACCAAACGCTTCACGTGGTGCCGTGTCCCCAGAGGAGGGCTTCATCCCTAAATGAGGGACCCCTGTGTCTGGGAGGGCTGCTCTGTTGCCCACAAGCGTCCTGCCCGTGGAACTCAGGCCTGGCCCTCTGCCTTCTCGGGCCGACGAGACAGGCAGGGTCCTCCGGGCTGGCCTCGTCCCAGGCCTTCCCCATGCGTTCTGGTGGCCACGCTGAGCACAGCCCTCAAGGGCCTTGTGGCCTCAGGGACTTTCAGGATGCTTGTTACCGCAGCAGCAGCTCACCAGTGCTGACGGGTTTGATCTCCTAGGAAACGATCTGATTCTGAAAATCACAGGAGACAATTGGAGAACAAGAACTACCAAAAATTGGGGAATATTTCACCGAGGTTTTTTCTCAGAAGGGGTTAGTAGAAGTAAATTAACAAATACATCTTTCACGTGCACTAATAATGAAAGAATATTGGTTTGAAGAGGAACCAAAATATCAGGATTTTGTGGGACTTCCTATGTTTTGGCTCCGATTTTAAGACACAAAAGGATGACGTAAGAAGATATGGAGACAAAACCCGAATTCCGGGGGTTATAGGAGCACAGAGGGCCAGCTGGCTCCACTGAACACCTGCCGCAGGAGACGCCTTCCCTCCAGGGGCTATAGGCTCTGGGGACATACGGCACGCACGTGGGGTGAGCCACAGCTCTCAGGAAACGGTGAGAAAAGTGAAGATGAGCTGGGGCTTCCTTGGCGGCACAGTGGTTAGGAACCTGCCTGCCAATGCAGGGGACACGGGTTCGAGTCCTGATCCGGGAAGATCCCACATGCTGCAGAGCAACTAAGCCTGTGCACCACAACTACTGAGCCCATGTGCCACAACTACTGAGCCCATGTGCCACAACTGCTGAGCCTGCACGTCACAACTACTGAGCCTGAGAGCCACAATTACTGAGCCCGCGCACTTAGAGCCTGTGCTCCACAACAAGAGAAGCCACCGCAATGAGAAGCCTGTGCACCGCAACCAAGAGTAGCCCCCGCTCGCCACAACTAGAGAAAGCCTGCACACGGCAACGAAGACCCAATGCAGCAAAAAATAAATTAATTAATTAGTTAATTTTTTTTAAAAAAGTGAAGATGAGTATCTCACACCGGGACTCCCCAAGGGCGGGAGGTCAGTGACCCACGGGAGGAGACATTGGCACCACGGCCTCCTGGACCACACGGGGCAACTGTTACTGGTTTTTTCTAGCAGTGACTGTAGTGGGAAAATCGTGACAACAGTGGGGGACGTGCCTTTGTGGCTCCTGGGGCCGCGTTAGTGGCATAGGAGACTCTTCAACGCACGTTCGCTGTCACCCCACAAAGAGGACCAGGTGTGTCTGCTCTTCCCAGGCAGGAAGCAAGGGCAAACCACGGGTTTTCACTCTGTCCCCTCCCCGCTCTGTCTTGCATCCTCCACCCTCCCTTGACCGGGGAAGCCGTATAACTAGAGATCTCCTCGAGAAGTGTTGTCTCACTGATAGAATTTCAACATAAATGCGTCATAAGCATTTCTAGCATTTGTGGTAGTAATGCCCAGAAGTGAACGCTCGGCAGTTCTGAACGTGTCCTGCTGGAGATGGGACGTGGTCCCCCACACACTGTCACCCTCGGCACCCGTCTATTGTATCTCTGTTCATCCTCACTGCCCTCCCGGTACCTGAAGGGTCCTCCAGTGGCTCTGGGGACGATGCCCGAGTCGCCGAAGGGTTCCGACAGTGGGGCCGGCTCCTCCCTGGAACGCGGGCCCAGCGTGGTGAAGCTCTTCCCACTTCCTGTCCGTCCGTAAGCCAAGATGCAAACGTTGTACCTAAAACGCAAGCCAGACTTCAGGACAGAAAGACACACAGTGGGCCTAGTGCCATGACTGGACTCTGAGACGAGGGCCACGTGGATGATACACCTGAACACACTTCCCTTTGAATCCTCTGTTCCTCCGTTCCCGAGAAACCTGGCCTTCGTTTAACTACAGCTGTCTTTTGCATAATCCACCGTTGTGGTTATTTGGTTACACGCTGGATTAAATCATATTCACGTTTACACACGCACAGGCAGCTCAGCGATACCTGTTTCTCGCAGGTGTCTCCACGTGGGAGACCACGGCTGGCGCTCGTGCCCTCAGAGCCCGCCCGAGGGTGCCATCCTGAGCCAGGCCCTCCTCCTAAATTCCACTCATTCGAACTTTTGGAGTTGCCTGAAGTAAGCTCATGTGCATAAAATCAGGCCAACTGAAGTGTGTATGAAACGATATAAAAGTTTGCATATTTTCCTTTGATGTCCTAAAACTATTTTTCCCCATTACATTTATGATCGCCAGCGTCGCCAACTACAGTTGAACTTAAGGTTGTGAAGTATTCTTACACTTCGTTTCTCCACGGGCCTTGGGGTTTCATTTCAGCCAGACGTGCCGACACCCTCTCAGTGCCAGGCCGGCCTGCCCACCCCAGTCCTACAGCTCGGGGTGATTTTGGTGCAGCTCACTTCACAGAAGACAAGAACAATGAAGGATCCGTAAGGTTTCTTCCATTTGCGCTATTAGCCCAAGACGTCAAGGAGAAGACGGGAAACATCTGAAGTAAGTTTACGGTGCACACTTATATGCTTGGCCGTGAAGGTGCGGGTGATCCTGGCCCACAAGTGGCTGAAGCTAAGCCCCGACCCCCTTTCGTGTCTCCTGGGAGATTAAACATCCAAGCACAGACCCCACCCGAAGAGATTCTGATTCCATGGATCAACCTTTAATCAGACCCCTCCCCTCCTGCAGTCAAACAAAGGCTGTGGCTCTGATAAAATGACTTCGAAGAGTTCTGATGGGTTCTGACCTTGAACAGTGACACGAAAAGCCCTAGAGATCCTGGAGGCCTCCGCCTCCAAGGTTGACTGTTCCCTGAAAAGATGATGGAAACCATATGTGAGCGTGAGAACTGATCAAAGCCCTCTCTGCTACCATACTGTTTTTTTTCTTCCAGAACTGAAGAATCTCCAGGTATTTATAACATGACCCCACAGCATTCCACATCTCTTACACCTTCCCTGAGAGATGCATGTGTATTTGGCGGGGGAGCGGGGGGATGTCTTTGACTGCAGTGGATAAATGAGCTCTTAAAGGGATCCTTCAAACCACTGAGGAATGCAGAGAGGAATGAACTGGCCCAGGACTTCAAATATGCCATCTGTTTCATATTTATCATGGAAAAGGCAACTCAGGCAAAGACCATTTTAACCACGATGCCAGTTTTTATTTCTGGAATCTGCTTAATTAGATGCCTACTTAGGAAAAAAGAGAGAGAGAGAGACTCCTATCATTTTCAATGGAAGAAATTTTGTCAGATGGACATTAAAAACCCCAGTATTCCAGAGGAGGGGCCGGGTAGGTGTGTGCAGTTGACAACACGCGGTTTCTGTGCTGACCCGACCTCTGGGTTCGTGAGCCTTCCCTGCACCCCATGATGTCAGATGCCGCAGCGCTGTGGTTGGATCCAGCCCTATAATTACAGCTCCCATTTTGTTGGATTTGGCTGTGCTGGACAAACACAAATGCATCTCCTTCAGGACGCTTGATGTCAACTTCTCCGCCAAACCGAGATTCTTCAAAATGCCCCGAAGTGGAAAGTCTTGGCTTATTGTGTGTCAGTTAAGCCAACAGAGCTGTGCACTTTACTGCTGGAAAGTGACCCTTATTCCTAGGTCATGGCCACTGCCTTGGAAACCAGTAGTAGTTTCCATGGGGAAAGGCTCCTTCCCGCAGGGACAAGCCCCTTGATCTAGTGTCAACATTGTTAACAGACTTTAGAAAAGCCTGAAATGTACGAAGGATCCCGGAGAGAAGAAGGCTGCTGCCATCTCAGTCTTAAGGCGGCAGGTGATACAACTGAATGATCATCTGGACCCAAGGCATATGTGTTCCTTTAACAATTATTCCTCAAATCACGTTTACACCTCCTCCTAGGAGAAGGGCCATGGAGGCTGGGCTGTGGGTCTGCTCTACACGCACATAAAAGGCTCAGACGCTCATGTTCAACTCTCGTGTGTAGCATGAATGAACTCTACTTACATTTACATGTAGCTGTGTTAAGTGACCTCAGAAATATTTTAACTCACCCCTCTAAGAAGGACGTCAGAAGGGTACACACGTCCTCAAACACCACGTTCTGAAGTTCTGCTCGACCATAAACTCTGAGAGGCAAAGGGAAAATGATGCATTCTTGGGAGAAAAAGAGATGTACGTTACTATACAGAAACCTGAGAAACAAAATATCCTTATGTTCTTCTCATGTGAACCCCAACACCGTCAAGAGTCATACATTTTTAAACAATGAAAGATTAATTTTATTACTTTTCGAGCTAACAGAGGTTAAGAAAGAATAAAAATTGTTTCCTCTGCTGTAAAAAGGTAATAAGCATAAGCAAAGTTATAAATGCTTGCAGAGCAGAAAGAAAAAGCAAGAGAAAAAGAAAGGATGCCATATAATCAGCCCACAACTAAATGAGTTCCACTTAAGTGGGTCCAACAACAAGGATGTAAAAATCATACTCCGGCAATATCTGATACGTAATACTGAATTTTTATGTTCAAGCTCTTAAAAATATTGTTCTCCTAGGCCCCAGGTTGGTTCAGCCAAGCATTGATACACAAAATGGGACTGGAATGCCGGCTATGACAGGGACAGTCTGTGTGTTTATAAACGTGTACAAATAAACCCAAGTAGGAAGTGGCTTCCAGAAACCATGGCTCATTGCAGTGTGAAACAAGATGGGAACAACGCCCCAAGGGCAGAGGCAGCGATGGACCGCCCATTGCTGACAAAGCCACAGTGTGTCATGTGTGAATCGAATATACTTAGATTTTAAGCTTAGTTTTCTGAAATACAGGTTTTTACTTAACTGGAACCAAACTTTTCTTTCATTTTCAAAATGCGTCCTAATGCTCAGTTGAGCCAGATCATGTCTAGAAGCAGGACTGATTTTAAACTTGAAGGGCCTTCCTTATAAAATGCTGCTTATTATATACATGATGAGGAGGGCTTTTTTTTTTTTTTTTTTTTTTTTTGCCACGCCACGCGGCATGTGGGATCTTAGTTCCCACAGTGGAAGCGTGGAGTCCTAACCACCAGCCTTCCAGGGAAGTCGCCAAGGAGGACATTTAGAACAAGAGGGACAGGGCTGAACTCTTAAATTAACTTTTCACCCAAAAAGTCCCACCAAAATACAAAAGCAGGAAGGACAGTGAATGAGCCCAGCCTGTGCACCACCAGCTCCTACAATCACCGACTGTCCCCAACCTCACCTAATAGCCACACCTCACCCCGGAGCCCTCTGAAACTGACCTCAGGTCCAGCTCGTCCGTAAATGTTCTGTATGCATCTCTAAGGGATGATGACTCCTAAAAATCATCACAATGTTACCATTGTCACGCTTTTACAAATTAACAGTAATTCCTTTATGTCATCCAAGATGAGGGTAGCATACACATTTCTCCAGTTCTCTAATAAGTTTATTTTTCCTGTCAGTTTTTTTTAAGTTAATTTATTTTATTTTACTTTATTTACTTTATTTTTGGCTGTGCTGGGTCTTCGTCGCGGTGCGCGGGCTTCTCATTGCGGTGGCTTCTCTTGTTGCGGAGCACAGGCTCTAGGCGCGTGGGCTTCAGTAGTTGTGGCACGTGGGCTCAGTAGTTGTGGCTCGCGGGCTCTAGAGCGCAGGCTCAGTAGTTGTGGTGCACGGGGCTTAGTTGCTCCGCGGTATGTGGGATCTTCCCGAACCAGGGCTCGAACCCGTGTCCCCTGCATTGGCAGGCAGATTCTTAACCACTGCGCCACCAGGGAAGCCCTTCCTGTCAGTTTTTAAGAATCATTGCAGCTGGTTGAACGTCTTCATAGATATTCGGGGTAGCAAACTTTTTCTGAATAGTAAATAGTTTAGGCTTTATGAACATCTTACTTAAAGAGACACTGGAGCCTTTCTCACCAACAGGAGGAAAAGGTGGCAGGCCTGCCACTGCACCACTACTCACCATGGTACCAAGTCCTCGCTAGCTAACTTGGGACATGAGGATCACAAAGAAGATGGAACCACTGACTGCTTAGAGGTGATACGGCCGGACATCTGGGCAATCCAAAGCCAAATGATGAAGAAAATCACCAAATCAACAACAGAATTTAGCAAAGTAGCAGGTTGTACAATTCATGTACAAACCCAATAGCATTCATATATACAAACAAAATGAGCTCCCTGATATAATGGGAGAAAGACTGTATACATGATAGGAAACAAAATAGAAAACCAAGGTGTAGATTTTAATAAGAAATGTCTAAATCCTTTATGAAGAAAACCATAAGCCACTCCTGAAAGACACATAATTCAACTCAATGAATGAAAAGATACGCAGCGCCATGTCCTTGGATATGAAGTCCCAACATGAAGACGTTCGTTTTTCCAAAGTTAGCTTATAAATTGAGCTGAACGCCCCCCAAATACCACATATACTATCAGGATTTTTCTGAAGCTAGACAATTTGATTATAAAACTTATTTAGTAAAATCAAAGAGCAGAATAGAGAGGAAAACCCTGGGGGAAGAGCAGTGGGACGTGGAGTTGTGGTGAAGCCCATGCTTCGGGGAGAATGGTCAGGGCACGTGGTGAATAGACAGACCCTGGGGCAGAAGAGAAAATTCAGAAACAGATACAACTGCAAAGAGCAATGTACTCTCTGATAAAGGGGACATCCCAGGTTAGGGGAAAAGACGTGATTTAATGGGTGGTACTGAAGTAACTGGATAGACACATGAAAAAATAAAACCGGAACCATTCCTCATTCGGTTCATTCCAAATGGGTCATGAGATTTGATTAATGTAAGAAACCTGGCCACTGCAACTACTAAAGCACACGGGTATATTTGTCTATTACCTGGCAGCCTTTGTAACTACAATTATGTTAAAGGGGAATAAGAGACTTTTGCATGGCTGAAAGATATCAGAAGCAAAGAAAAAAGTACAAGTGACAACCTGGGGGAAACAGCTGCAGCTTCAATCACTGACTAAAGGTTGATTTCCCTAAAAATAGAGAAGAAAAAATGTAGAGTATAATAGAAAGAGTATCCCTTATATTCCTTAAATTTCTTATATATTCCTTGTATTAGAAATCCTTTCTATGTTTTTATAGGAAAACAGCTAGAGATATGAAGAGTTCACAGAAAAAAAGAAATGCCCCTAACTCAACCACGTGAAAGGACGTGGGGTCTGACTCTGAAGGGAAGCCATGGAGAGATGTCGTTTCTCGCCACAGCCGGCAACCACCCCGAGGCGGACAACGGGCCCCCAGGGGAGCGATGGGGAAGCGGGTTCTGACAGATGAGCTAAGCAGGTAGAGGAAAGGCAGGCCCTTTCTCTCCTTCTCTCTTTGGCTGCTTTCAGTCAGCTAACTCTGGAGACCCAGTGGCCAGCACACCTGCATCTCTGTGCTCAGCCCCGCGTCCTGTGCTCCCCGGCACGGTCCCCACATGCAGCTCTGATCGTGGGGACTATCTTCGCCTTACCTGTGCCCGTCGTACCTAATAGGGTGTCTTGCCCATAACCGGGGGTCAGTCAACGCTTGAACTTGAACAACTACATGTAGAAATTACTACAAATATGTTGGTAGATACATCACGGCATAACCACACACACAGTAAAAGGACACAGCCAAGAGGCCTCCAGCTGCCTGATACACAAATTATACTCAAAACAATAAAAGTGACCTATTTTTCCCATTGCATTTTGCGTCAATTCCTGTTACTTTCTGTTTGCTTTTTCTAACAATAATACTATTTTATTCTGCTTACCAGACCACTTTCTTCTGACCATGGGGCCATTTGTAGCTTCCCAAGTGGTAAAGCCTGTGCTTTCCCCTGCACCCACGTTAACTTTTAAAAAGGAGTTAAGTGCTGAAACTGTTGAGATTTTCCTTCAGAACTGAAATAAAATATTGTGACATTTACTAGTTCCATAAAAAGCTGTTAGAAAATAAACAGCGTTGTGGCTTGTAAGACCCACATGCTCCACCGCCTGTAAAGTCAGCTGATCCTGAGTCCCGAGACTCCAGAATCAGCCCTGAGCGCGGAGTTAACTTTCAGCTTTTCCTCTCACCTAGTTGTACAGCAAGTTACACACGTTCCTTCCTTTCTCTTTGGGCTCAGCCCAAGCTCCACAGCGAGGACCCTCCCCTTCAACCTGAACCCTGTGTATGGCCACTGAGATGCCAACCAAGGAGGATGCTCCGTCTCAGCTGACGGAGCTGGTGCCCCCTCCCCGATCCCCAGACGGGGCGGGTGACCACTGGCGACTTCCCCGCCTGCAGTGGCCCCGCCGTGGTCTCCTCCTCTGTTGAGAGCTCGGCCACGGGCAGCTGTGGGAGTGGATGCTGCCACATTTGGACACTGCAGGGTCTCCTGGTGCTAAGTGCTGCTATCCCCAGAGAGGTGATCCTTTGCCGTCTCAGCGTCAGAGGTAAGATGCTCCGGGAGTCATTCCTCGGCCGCACGCGCTTGTTGACTCAGCCTCGACTTCTGAAGCATCTTGATTGGTCCCCCTTCTCCACACCTGCTAAGGGACTAGTTCGTCCACCACCCAGGCTGATGCAACGGCCCCCGACCATCGCCCAGCTGCTCACTCTGTCCCAAGCCTACAGCCCTCCTAGCACACTCTAGACATTGCTCCCGTAGAGGTATTTCCAAAATGTATATTAAACAAGGAGGGAGTGGATGAAATCACTGGGGCTGGAGAGAGAGGTCTGAGGAGGAACGAGTGACGCAGTGTGTCACCGTGGGGCCACTTAGGTCCTGATGGCAAGTGACGCACTGGATATGTCCTGGGAGGTCCTCTGCTAGCATAATGAACACCCTGAGTCCCTTCAGTAGGGCGGATGGGGGTGGACACCAGTCACGGCGGCTTCAGCAGCGAGGGAGAGGTGGGCTCAGTGATGGGGGCCTTCGACCACGGCACAGCCGCCGAGATGGCCTCCTCTGATGGACGCAGGGAGGCGTGGGTGCCTGGGTTCTAACCCGCTTACCAGGGGAGTCACTGACTGACTGAGACATTGTCTGTCCATGGAGGCCTTGTCGGACGCCGGAATCTGTTTCAGGAGGTGTAATCCCGATATAACTCCAGCGATGTCCCCTGCGGCAGAAGGAGCTCTTATATCCTTTCGGCTCCCAGACTCTGGAGGAAGGTTGGGGAGAGCTCAGACACTCACCAGGACCGAGGCTCTGACGCAGGTGAGAGGCCTGGGCCCGACGGCGGGCGCCTGGTCCTGGAGTCTGTCCGCCAGCCGGGTCCCGCCCGCTCCACCCCACCCCCACCCCCCGGGGCATAATTTCCTTTTTCTGTTGCCTGACTATGTTGCCGCTCCTTTAACATCAGGCCAAAATGTAACCCTAAGGACGAGCTGCCCGGAACACACACCCCAAAGGGTTTTACTGATGTCCTCAAACGCCTACGTTATAACCATAAAGAAAAACAAGCGAAAAATGCTAAGGTTTACACTGTCTCACCCAAAAGCTCCAGGGACACCATATGAGGAACATACAAAGCCATAAAAACAAGCCTGAATCCAGAATCTCCCTACGACCGTTTAGAATGTCATCTCACAGTGTGATGACTAGATTTTAAACAACGTCTGAGATGATTCCAAGAGCAGAGTTTCATTCTCCAAACACAGCTTCAGTGTTCTCCCTGCCTGTGCACATCCCACAAACAAACAAGAGTCTTTCCCTTGGCCTTTTAGAGCAACTCCCTTTTATCACAATCCTCAGGCTTTTGACCGCTAGAGATCCTTCCTTTCCGGATGCACCTGGGCTGTGCAGAGCCGTGGGTCCGGACACCGGGGTTGGTCTCCAGAACTCACTTACAGCCTCCGCCTCACGGAACGGCCCAGATGCGGTAACACGACAGGGGTGCCTGGCTCAGAGCCAGTGATCAATGACGGTTATTTCCCTAACGTCGAGCTGCTTTATCGTCTATTTTCTTATTTGTATCCAATTCCCTAGGAAGCTTTCAAAGCATCTGGGGCATAAAATTCTTTGCCATCAACTCAGTCATCAAGTTTTAGAGCTAAAAGTAAACTTTAATCCAAATCCCACATTTTCCAGAAAGAAACCTGAGGCCAAGCGGAGGTAAGTGAACCACATTCAGAAGGAAAGCCCAGGCCTCTGGCTCCCCTACAGGTTCTCCCCAACCCCTGGTGCCTCTCTCAGGCTGTCTCAGCGTTTTCTGAGCCTCGGAAACCTCCCTCACCAAGGTCAGTGGGCCTCAGTCACGCCCTGGTCCACGTGCAGCAGGGAAAGTTAGCCTCCACCTTCCCGGGGGCGGGGCGGGGCGGAGCGCTGTGTGACGTCACAGCAGATATCGCAGTCCTCCCTTCCCTGCAGTCAGCACTCGGCACCACCTTTGGGGGTGCACATCCTTCTCCTGAGATGAGCCCTGAGTTTGCAGACCTAGAGCGATGATCCCCTCCTAGGAGGGGACGTCGAGTACCAGGGCCCCAAGGAGACGGCCTCCAACGCATCACTGCGCCTTTGCCGGGCACCTGCACCGGTATGGATACGTCTCCGCAAAGCCAAGTTGAGTATAAAACCTCAGTCCCCCCAGAATACAGCTAAAACCAACCAATGACTTCTTGCGAGCAAATACAGACAGGTCCATACCGGGTGATGGATTCAGGGAAGTTTGGACATCATTAAAATAAATACACAGGCACAGACTTTGAATCATCCTAAATCTCCACATTAAGAAACAAAGCGACCAGATGGTAAAACCAAAGACCCACGATATTTACTATAAAAGTGAGTGACCTGCAGACCCCGAGCAGGTGGGGAGGTGGTGGCTGGACGTGAGGTCGCCCACAAGAGCAGCAGGGTTGTCCCCGAGACGGCAGTGCCCCTGGGGCGGGACTTGGAGCAGCTCCCGTTGGGCAGAGATGGATGATTCGGGCGCCAGGACTACGGCTGTGGATGAAAACCCACTGATACGCTTCTATCCACAAGATCACAATGATGCTCAACAAAAAACTTCACTGGTGGCCACTGCAGGAAGCCAGGAGCCACCTCCTTGTTTGGAAGCTGACCAATAACCGGGGAAGAGTGGCGCGTTGTCCCGCCGTCCCTGGGTGACGGTGCTGCTGGAGGACCAGGCGTGGGGAAAGCAGCTCTTTCAGAGGTTCCAGCACCACATCAGCATGTTTTGCATCCTCGCTGTTGACGCCACCACCAGAGCCACCACCTCCCCCCTCGGGATTGAACCCAGTCTGGCCAAGCCTCGGGGTCCACCTGCCACTCCGCGATGCACAGAGGACAGAGGAACACGCTGGGCAGCGGCAAGGACTCGTCGTCAGCATCACGCGGACGCTGCGAAACTCCCAGGTCCTGGGCCCCGACTGCTCCACAGACAAACCATAGGGAAGAGCGGAGAGGCGCGAACCAAAGGCCAAGAAGACTTAAGAACTCAACCTGAAAGCGGGCAGGACTGAACCATAGTGTTTGAGGAGGTGCCCTCGGGCAGCAGACCACAAGGATCTGAAACCGGGCGCGTCTGACCAGGTCCATGCGGTCTCCACCCCGTTCCCCAGCAGCCAGGCCGGGTCACACACGTCCTCCTGGCCGGAACTGGCTCATGCGGCGTCCAATGCCCACGTGGGCCTTCCCACCACAAGCACGAGGCAGCAGACAGGTGCTTCCATGCTGCAGGACAGCGGCAGGAGCGGGACCCTTCCTGGGGTGGCCATGAGAACAGACACCAAACCAAAGCCATTTACACCAGGACCTGTGACCACAGAGTGAAGGGCACAGAGCGGGGGTGGTGGTGGGGTGGGCAGCCGGGTTGTCCGTCTTGGTTTGTAGGCACTTTTCCACATGTTCCGTGAGTGTGGAACCTTCCGGAAGCCTGTTCCTAGTCTGTGCTCTGAATTCCAGTGGGTGATCCATCTGTCGATCTATCGACTGCTCTGCGTGTCCCATGTCGCCCTGTGCACCTCAGCTCGGAACGACGGGCAACCTGCCGCTGGGGTGGTTTACATCTTTCTTCCTCTCGTTTGTGAATTTCTGCCTAACGGGCAAATCCACTTCACTAGTTGGTTCTCGTCTTTGGGAACACGATGTCTGTCACCTCACAGCTGCTACGTGTAGGACGGGTGGCTGGGGCTCTGCCCGGAGCACCCCTTTCACTCATGGCTCGTTCCGCACTTGCATCCCCGTTGTCCTCAGGGCCAGGAAAGTGACACCCACTCCCTACCTACCCAAATCTACCTCTGCTCACAGCTGCCTGGCTTCAGTTGTAAGGCAAAGACCACACGTATGGTACCTGACACCAAGTGCCAAAGGATGCTAATGCATTTCTTACGATGACCTCAGCGTAAAGAGGCTTGGTGTAGCACTGACGACACCAGGAGGGTTAGCTCCAAGCACATCGCTCACGATACGCACGGATGGCACACAACAAGCTTCTTTTTAAATTAACTTATGTAGCAATAGGAAGTAATACTGTTTTACTGCTAAACTAATGAGAGAACACAAGGGATGATGTCCATTTCCTACTGGAGTTTTTATTTAAGCAGCTGGAAGAATAGATTTATTAATATTTTTGTGTGTTACTAACACATGTTATTATGTAGCTCTTGGTTCCTTCTGCTTTCACAGTATGGTGGTGACCGAGAGGGGACCCTGCGCAAGGGTTCCTGCGCGTCCAGATGTCCTCCCATACCCTCTGAGATCAGGGACGTGATCGGGGAAAGTCCACTCTCATAGCTCCACGTGCGTGTGTGTGTGCGTGGATCACGGTAACGAGGGCTGAGCGGCATTCCATTGTGTATGTAGACAGATGCCACGTCTTCTTTATCCGTGCCCCTGCTGATGGACACTCAGGCCGCTTCCATGTCTTGACTATTGTAAATGATGCCGCTATGAACATTGGGGTGCGGGTATGTTTTCAAACGAGGTTTTTGTTTTCCCCATACCCAGGAGTGGAATTGCTGGATCATACGGTATCTAATATAATATTGTTAGTCAACTATACTTCGATTTTTAGAAAGGTAAGAAGGGAAAATGATTCTCAAAAATAGATGCTGGTAGATTTCCACAGTGGCTGAGAGGGGACAAGACACCAGACAACACCGGGCTGGCCCAGGGACCGTGCTGTCCACGTGGTCAGGCCAGCCCCTAAGGCTGAGCAGGGCCTCCTAGAAGCTTCCCGACTGCAGCTGTGTGCAGGCTCCCCTGTTCTTCAAGATCCCCGGGTAAGGAACAGCCACAGATTGTTTCAGAACTGGCACAAAACCTCTTTGCTAATTCCAATTCTGCTACCAACTAGTTATGTGACCTTGAGCAAGTCGTTTATCTTTTTAAAGTCTCGTTGTCTGCCCTCGGTCAAATGCGCTGGTGTGGAGGCTAGTCCTAGAGGGGCCTTACAATTATATGATTCGTTGAGTCTGCGGATCTAAAATTTGGGTTAAATTCTTTCATAAAACAAGAAAATATTAGGAACTTTCGCTACAGTAAAGGAAAACACTTCTACAGGCATGATGAAAGAGAAGATCATTTCCCGAAACAAACTGGTATAAAACAAGCCCACGCCACGTGTACACAGAGCACCGCGCAGAAGACTCGGCAGAAATTTCTGGAAGAATAGCAGCGTCCTTCCCTGAACACAGGTGATGAGGGACAGACCCTCTCCGTCAGTCTGATTTAAAGACGTAAAACAACCCATCAGTAGGAGAAGAAAATGTAAAATACAGAGAATCAGTTTGAAGTAAACTGATGGAAACTGAAACAACTTCTTCCTTAAATCCTTGTAATACCTTAAAAAAAATCCAAGTCTTTCTCTGCCCACAGTCTGTAAAATCCATACTTGGTATTATAACAATTTTCAGTTCCTCAAAATGGCTCATATTTGAGAAACCAAATCTTGATTCTAGCAAAGCCCCTTTTAGACGTAGAACTTTACAGTAGGAAAGAGCAAAGCTTCAACTGTCCTGGAGAAGTAAAGTGACAAGAGTCACATATTCGGCCCGTGACTCGGGTCTTGTTTCCATGGAAATCTCTCTGTCACGGTATGGATGAGACACGCCAGGGCCCCTGGGATGAGCCGTGGTATACTGGTTTGGTATGATTTCAAATCCACTTGCTGATGGCAAAAATGAAACTGTTTTCAAGAGTGAAGTTGTTTTGATCCCAGAATGAAGTTGCTTCTAGAAGTGAGGTGTTTGGCCGTAAGGATGAGGTGAGCTGTGTCAGGATGCTGTCCTATCATCTTGTCACTCACCCAGCAGCCGAGGGGCCCCTGCGGGGGGCTCTTCTCCCTAAGAAGAGAGGAGGCAGCATCCTTGGGGAGGGGACACTTGGGACCATCCGAGTGTGTCCCTTCTGGGCAGGCGGCCTTTCACTGACCCAGCCCCGGAAGACCTCGGGGCACTAGCTCCCACCGAGGTGAAGGCTGGATCCAGCCACGGGGACTCTGGGTTTGCGCTGGCGGCTGGATCGGCGTGTGGTTGGTGAGGTCGCCCCTCCCAAGAGCCAGCTTCTAGAAAGGCTCACTTCAATCTGCACTTTCTTTCATCCCCCTTACCTGGAACAACGTGTGATCAATCTGTCATTTGTTTGTAGGGTGTTACTCCCTTACTGGCTTTTTAAGAGACGTTATCCTGTGTGCTATGGGCTTATGAAATTATTTTCATTCCCACGGCGAACCTGGGTTAAGCAAATTATTGGCAAAGACAATCTCAGTCTCTGAGGATCATCTGCCCAGAAACAGACCAAGCTAGAAATGTGCGTTTCATCTTTTTAGTCACTCATGTGGTGAGTATGTTTGGAGAGGCGTCTGCACCACACCCTCAGTGGAGTTTTCAGGTGAACAGAAGAGACGTCAGCCTGCCTGGACCAGCCTCAAGATCTGGCGACACAGACAAATTTAACAAAAGAATCATACGAAATACTATGAAGAACCTCGAAGAAAAATACAGATACGGTGAGACTGCATGAGAGAGTGTCCTCGTTAGACTGGACACCAGGAGAGGTCTTCCTGAGCCCGTGATGCTTACCGTGAGGGTGGGCAGGTGAGCCAGGTGGGCGGGGGGAGCATCGGGACAGAGAAGGGCGTGTGCTGAGGCTCTGAGGCAGCACAGGGCTTGTGGCGTTCAAGGCCATCGGAGGGACAATCGAGAATTCGTTCTAGAAAGTTTATGTCTGAGACCCGAATGAGCCATCCCAAAGGCTCTCACACAAGCCAGGAATCTGTTCTTCCACAGCTGATTATCAAACAAGCAGGTGCAAACTAAATGAGAAACGCAGATGGGTAACACTGACGACAGTCCCTGAGAACTAGGGCAGGACCCGGACTCTCCAGCTGAGACTGATCTTACTCATAGGCTGAATCCAAAACGCTTAAGTGTGGAATTCGATTGCTCATCGAGATGAAGTGCTGTGCTACACGCCCAGTACAAACGCAAGCTCTCTTTAGACTTTTGGAAATAAAAACGTGGGAGCCAAGAGCTACAGTGCCACAAAACAGTTCACTTGCATTCTCAGCAGATTTAATGATATGAAGTCTTTTAACAAACAAGTCAATTAAAGTTAAAAAAAACAACTTGGATTCTGCTGATTTTCTACAACATAATCCAAAATGCCCCAATCAAAAGAAATATTCTTATCATGATG